CGATAAAATCATGAACAAGGGGAGCTCATGGCGAAATCTTGTTGTTACAACCGACATCAATAGTAGACCGGCCTGTGGTAACCTATGCAGCTCCAGTTTTAACTTCTAACGGATGCAATGGAAAAACATTCAACATTCATTCAGTAGACATTTTTAAATAAAACAAAAATCTGCCACTGTGCCAATATTAAAATCTTCTCTTTTTGCTCTCTACAGAAATTCACATATAGATGTATATGTATATATGTGTACACCCCCAACTTATCAACATACCACAAGTATTTGATCGCTTCTCATTACGCGGGTCAATGGAACTCAATGTTAAATAAAAAAAATGTTTGTTATATTTTCCTCTCTGCACATTTGTTGCCCTAATGTTTTGACAAAATAGAACAATAAATTATACAGTGAAGCAAAATTATTATGATAAATAAATATGATTAAAATAAATCAAATTACTAAAATATGTAAAATCGTCTTGTAATTTCGTATTGGAAAATTTAAAATAAAAATCATGGGAATTCGTATTGAATAACAAGTAAAAATGTCGTTATGGTGTGCCGGTCCAAACTTTTTACGCTTATTCAAAGTGGGTAAATGCAGTGATTTTGTTTTAATTATCCAAGTTTTTCAATAATGCGTTGTACGGATAATTGATATACTGGGCGAGATAAAAAACCTGCAACAAATTTTGTTACATGCGCTGTAGTAGGGGGGTCATGTCCATATGGGCTCCGACTAGCCTTGTCGCCCCTCTGGGTGTGGCCCCAACACGTCACCCCTCCTCCTGGTTCAAAGGTCACTTAGGTTCAAAGGTCACTTCATTGGCTTTATATGGTCTAATATGGATTTGGTAGGCTGATGTGACCCCCCGTAGTGTCCACGCCCTTGTTCCGGTTTCCCTGTTGGCAAATCTCACACTGAGGTGTTTTAATCAGTGTTCGCAAAAAAACGGTACACTATCGTAGTGTACCGTACCAGGAACACAAACACTAAAAAAATTTTAGCGTTAGTGTTCCGGTACACAAACATTAAAAAATATTTTAGTGTTACTGTTCCGGAGCACAACGAAAATCTTAGCGTACCAACTGCGGTACACTAAAAAATCGTAGTGTACCGACAGCGGTACACTAAAAATCGTAGTGTACCGGCAGTGGTACACTAAAAATTCGTAGTGTACCGACTGCGGTACATTAAAAATCGTTGTGTTCCACTGGTCGGAACACTAAGATTTTTAGTGTACCACTGGTCGGAACACTAAAAATGTTAGTGTTCCACTGTTCGGAACACTAAAAATCGTAGTGTTCCACTGGTCGGAACAATACAAATCGTAGCGTTCCACTTACTTGAACTGTACTGGTAGAGTACCATACACGTCTGTTTTGTTTTTTGAGGTAAAATGAGATCAAATAATAAAAATGAATATAACTTTATTTGCAATTACAAAATGTAGGTATTTTGGCCAGTTTTTGTGACAAAATTATACAGCTTTGGATAAAATTTTCATTAATTTACTGAACGAACATGATTTTTCAAATAAAATTAGGAGATCTCCTTGTAAAATGTTAGTATGAAATTTTTTTTCTTAAAAAAATTATACCTGCATCTACGATTCATACTTTTAGGAAATTTTATCAAAAATATTCAAAATTTGGTGATTGGCACACAATCAACATAATTATTACCTGCTTATTCAGGAAAAGAAGTGTACAAGTTACGCGGATATGAAAAAAGTAGTTTTATGATGTTGGGATAAATATTACAAGACCACATACGGGTACCACATAAAAAACGAATTTCATATTTCCGATCAGCGCAATCGATTATAACCCAAAATGCAATTCAATGGAATTTTCAGTTATATTTAATATTTTATTTATTTTATTTAATATTATATTTATTATGTTAAACTGTTGATGTTAATATAATATTACTATTTTTTTTAAATAAAATATAAACAAATACAAATATAAAAAGATATTTTATTTATTAAATTATTGAAAAGCAATAAAAATATAAATTTTATTCATACAAAAATAAAAGATGAATACATAATTTTGTTTTCCGACAAATGGAACACTATAATTTTAAGTGTTCCGCCAAGTGGATCACTACGATTTTTAGTGTTCCGCCAAATGGAACACTACGATTTTTAGTGTTCCGACCGCGGTACGCTACAATTTTTTAGTGTTCCGACCGCGGTACACTACGATTTTTAGTGCTCCGACAGCGGTACACTACGAATTTCGTTGTGCTCCGGAACAGTAACACTAAAATATTTTTTAATGTTTGTGTACCGGAACACTAACGCTAAAATTTTTTTAGTGTTTGTGTTCCTGGTACGGTACACTACGATAGTGTACCGTTTTTTTGCGAACACTGATTCTATGCGAAGTTGTTCCACTGAAGAGACTTGAATCAGCCCTTTCGTTGAGTATAAGGGGAAAATCGCGTATTATTTCAGCCCAAGGTATTTGGTATTGACGCTGGAAATATTCTACCGATATACAAATTCTTCAACAATTTTTAATTTTTTTTTTAATTTTATTGAATAAAAGCATCAAATTTTAGAATAAGTTTAGATTTGTTCGGTTTTTTAGGGCCAACCTTGGTTTCCAAAATACTGCAGACTGGTGTGGGCTGTCATAACAGCCGATGGTCCATCTCCACTCGTATTAATCCACGGTGGCGTCAGAATAAATGGAGGGTATATTAAAGCCTTGGGCACGCAAACATTTTGGCCGCAGACCTTGGACATTCCAACAAGACTCAGCACCATCGCACTCAGAATGGTTTAAAAAATTGTTACAAAATGAGGTTCCTCGCTTCATTTCCAGCGCACAATGGCCACCAAAATCTCCGGATACCTAAAATTTGATGCTATTTTCGACATTTTTTTCTTTCTTTCAATAAAATTAAGAAATAAATGTAAAAAATATGGCGTTGGACTTTGTTGCAGCGTTTTTTTATATCTATGTCTGTCTGTCTACGAATCTAAAACGGTTATCGCCATGAGACCTTCAAATCGGTTAAAATCAATAAATCCAATTGTGCACACACATATTATCTAATCTTAACCACTGTGACAAAATATATTCGAATGCTATAGAAAAAAAAACAACTACAGAATGAGCGAAACGTAGAAGGTTTTGTTATTAAATACTCACACACACGCCAAAAGCAACCCCCTTGTCGCGTGGTTTAACCAACAACACGCTTAACATGGAGAAACAATAGAATCCAAAAAAAAATCACATATGGAAGATCGACGCAAAATATTCAACAGCGAGTTAGTAGCATGCAGTGTTGCCGAAAGTGGGCATTTATGCCCAAAAGTGGGCATAAATAATGTAAAATTTAGGACTTGGGCGGATTTTGGGCATATTTTTCGGTTCCGGCACATTTATTTTTTTCTATATTTGTTTACGCTACACAACTATGTTTTGAGAAATTTTATTGTCCCAAGAAATATTGCTCCAAGATCACCGATATATTTCGACTAGCTGATTCAATTTAGTCATGTTTTTCTGTCCGTCTTTATAATTTATATTTATATATTAATCACCATTTGTATGTGGATTCGGTTCTATCCAAAGACGACTCCTATATGTTCAAATGGACCTAAACTGAATTTTTGTCTGTAATTCTGGTCGCTCTATGACCCGAACAAGACAATGTTACACTGTTTTGATGAAGATCATTAAATATTTGGCCGGTTGCTTCAGAAATTATAGCCTAACCGCGCTAAAATTACCAAATATTTAATGTTCCGTTTAAGACCTGTAGTTTTCTGTAGTGATTGGACAATATTTATGGGATAAAATGGACCAAAACCTTCATTAATGTCTAATTCTAATCGCTCTATAGACATTATGTATAGTGGGATATTGTATAGCCCCTTCCGAATATTCTGTTGGGTTTGCCGACATATGTACTACCTCAATTTACGGTTTGCTGTTGTCTATGGAATTACTCTCTAGTGCCAATGTGGAACATTTTTATTATATTGTGAACGATTATTGCCTTAAATTTATATTAAGTACTTATACTTAAGGCCTTTCATGTTTAGACTACACAGTATTTACCATTCGCGTTATATAAGGTATATGTTTTTATTAATGAGTTGTGCCCTAGAGGTCACATGTTACTATGAAATCAATATTTACAACCTTTTAAAATGTTGACACTGAAGCAATGACCCCTGGGTTCCCATCTTCGAACTTAATCTAGGTTGGGTAAAAGTAGGTGGAAAGTTTGAATCACAAAGTGTCGAATTTTAAAAATGTCGACACTTTGTGGGGAACTCGATTTACATTTGGAAGAAAAATTACTATGTGCTAAGTTTGGATGAAATCGGTTACTTCTTTCGAATGATATCGTGCATGGACTCCAAATTAAATCGGATTTGGTCCAAAGACACATGGGGACTAAACGAATATTTCGATGAAAGACTTTTTCCGCAACAAAGTACAAATTTTTAAAACAAAGTCATTAAAAAACTATTTAAAAATAAAAATACATTTTGTTATTAATTTTCCACACGTTGAAAAGTACACTGTTTTGTGGTTTCCATGCCACAAACCAGTGTACTTTTCAGCATCTGAAAAAATGTAGAACAAAAAGGACACTCGCTTTTTATACTTAACATCAGTGTATACTATTCCAGATCTTGAATTTTTGGGCATAAATTGCTGATTTTGGGCACTTTTTAGGGAAATTTTGGGCGGAAATAAAATTTTCAAACGGCAACACTGGTAGCATGTCTGAGTTCTAAGCATTTAAATGTGCGGCGTATTTTAAATGGGACGATCGTGAAACGGCTGGTTACCGCTTAAAAACGCAAATTCACATAAAACGAATATAAATTTGTCCAAATTTTGTTGTGGAAAATTTTCAAGTGTGTTGTTGTTCTATCGACAGACACACACACATATTACATAAATTATTTAATTATTTTGTGATTAAAAAAATTATATTTACAAAAATAAACAAATAACAAAATAGAAAAATCAACCAAAATGTCCTCAACAACCAATCCACAAAAAGAATTGACACCACTAACCAGGGCTGCTTTGCAAGTTGTGGCCGGTGGTTCAGCTGGTTTTGTCGAAGTGTGCATTATGCAGCCCCTCGATGTTGTCAAAACTCGCATGCAGTTGGGCGGTGGAGTGGTGAGTATTAACTCCGTTATGACTGCTGTTTATGATTATGTCGACCAGTTAGTAATTAGATAATGTGTAAACGAGTCGCATCGCGAATTACATCGCACCTGAACTATATCCTGAATGAATATGATTTGGGTGCGTAAGGTGTTATTTTATTTGCCTCACCACACACACCTTTAGTAGATGCAAAATATTTTGTATTTGTATATACATTTTGGGCCGGTTTTTATTTCTCACGTTACAAATTATTGTCAATGAATGTGGAAGTTTTTTACGTCATTAATATTTTTATGGGCTACTTACAAAGTAGTTACACTCAGAGAAATTGTCAAGTAATTTTTTTTGGGATTTTAAAAACTATATGGTGGACAATATTGCAATTTAAATAGCAACGATATATTAACAAATTTGTAGAATAGTCGCTAATTTCATTAGAGGTCGGACTGAGAGATCGTCTTTCTAGTCGTTGCCTAGTTTTTGTAGGAGTTCTCTAGGGTTCTATGATTTGCTCGGTCCCATGTTGTACAACATTTTTTTTATTCGACATTCTCGCACTTCCCTTCGGAGGTCTTCTCTTAACCTATGCCGATGATGTCCTGCTAACCCTGCAAATATGTACCTTCAATCAATGATGTGATTTTTGTTTGGTCTTAGCAGTCAAACTTGTGGAATGGTCGCTAAATAACATAGAAGTCTGGCCTTTATGATGAAGCTAGGAAATTATGTTTCTGGTCGTCGCCCAGTTTTTGCAGAAGCTCCTCAGGGTTCTATGCTATGCTCCATGGTGTACAACATTTTTTCTTTCGACATTCTCACTCTTCCCTTCGGAAGCCTTCTCACAACCAATGCCCATATTGTCCTGTCAGCCATTCGGAGGCATTCTTTTGACCTATGCCGATGATTTCATCTTAGTCTTGTCAGGGCGGTTAAAAGCCACTTCAAAGATTAACTTAATGCACTGCATGGGTACTTTGTTAGATGTCTTATGCTGAATGTAGAAAAATGAAGTTGATCCTAATTTTAAGAGGTCTTCAACTGCAACAAATGTACTGTCGAATGCAGGATAAAGAAATTATGCTTTGATAAGATATACCGATACAGTCCACTAGAATAAAATGAATAGGATTTTGCGTATGAGGTTTATCTTTTCCAGAAAGTTAGGCTCTTGAACTATAATCTGGTGAACAGATCATGTTTCTCCTGCCTGGTTTGGCACTTCGTTTCATTAGATATAAAGATTAAGGCTTTGATAAAGGAAAATACTATCCTATTGCCTTAGCTTGCTCCAGTTTAGCGGATGATTTCAATAGTCTCATTCGTATAAGTCGATTTATGAAAGGAATTGGGGTCTCCATGACTAGGATATTGAATGTAAGAATATGTAATGATATGGTCTTTCTTCGTATGATTGGCATAGTTTATCATAATTTTAGGAGGTTCTGAGAGTACATTCTGGATAGGTGTCTGTTTCTTATAGGCTGAAATACTTGAGGGTAGTATTTCCGAAAAAGATTGATTTTATCCGTGATTCGGATACAATAGGATTTTGAGTATAAACCTGGTCTTTTCCAGAAAGTTAGGCTCTTGATCTAGACAGATCTAACATAACCCATGCTTGTCTGGTTAGACATTTCGTCTCATCTGATGGAAAGATACTATCCTCTCTCTATTTGATTGGCGGATAATTCCAAATGTCTCATTGTTGTAAGCCGATTTATAAAGAGATTGGGGACTCCATAACTAGGGGTCAGCCACCCGCAGCCCATACTAGTTTGAATGAGCTGGGCTTGATCTACGTAGATGAAGAGTATTTTTCATTTCGGATAGGAAATTTTTAATTATTTTATTTTTTGGGATATAGTTATAGATCAGGAGAGGTTTAAAGCAGGTTTCTGATAAGCCGGAATATTTGCGGGTAATATTTAGGAGAAGTTCTGATTCATTCTGCATGTTAAAACATCAATAACATGACTAAATGGCTTTGCATAGAACCCGTGGTCTTAACCCGGGAGTTAGGATCTTGATCTAACGGCAGCTGATTAGACTTATCATTGCCTCTGCTTTTCCAGTCTGGTATGGCATTTCGCCACACCAAATGGGAAAGTGAGGGCTATGGGAAATGAAAATGCTATCCTCTTGTTTTAGTTTGTGCCATATTCATCTAGAGGATGATTCCTATATGTCTCACTGTTGTAGGTCGGTGAAAAAGTACAGCATGTTGGAGAAGTGTCAGTTTGTATTGAGTGGTGTGTGGAGGATGCGGATAAGCTGGCACTTGCCAACCACAACCCTCGCTAGATTGAATGAGCTGGGCTTAATCTACGAAGATGAATGTATTTTGTTCTATAACACGGAATTTTTTGGAGCAGTTCGATATGCTCCCAATTCTGTTATAAGTCTTTCATTGTCTTTTTTAATTATATTATATTTCGATGTATTATTATAGATAAGGATAGGTTCTGACAGGTTTCTGATAAACTTCAATACTTATTTCAGGATAAGTTCAATTATATTCACCATTTAAAGTACATCATTAAAGTACAGTACAGGACCAAAGAGGTTTTCATATGAGGATGGTCGTCTTTAGGAAGTTAGGTTCTTGATTTACCGCAGGTGATCAGACATATCATTACCTATGCTTTTCCAATCTGGTATGGTATTTTGTATCACCAGTTAAGGCTTTGAGAAAAGAAAATGCAATCCTTTTGTGTGAGATTGCGTCAATTTCGTTTGGAGGATGATACCTGTATGTTTCACGTATAAAATAATCACAGATGAATAGGATTGATGCCTGGAATGATAGGTGTGCCCTATCATTCTTGGATAGGTGATATTTTGTAGAGAATATATGAAATTCTTGCTCTATTCTAGGTCTTAAGTTCTTATTCAAATATTCGAACCGAATTAACTCTAATTTTGCAGAGGAAATGTGTCCAATATGTGAACCAATATGAATATTTTTTTTTTGTAGGAAGGTTTTCTACTCATCACAACGCAAGCAAAATACCAAATATTGGGGATTCCATAATATGGAGGCTATACTAAAAGATGGGCTCATATATCTCATTTTTAATACCAAACACCCTAGGTGTAGTAGCAAAAAAGGTCAAGTCTCTGTTTTAAATATTATGGGCTCTGTCGTGATTCAACAGGAGGATATGGTTAAATTGACATGGAATTTTATGAATATTTCAATATGTGTTGTCGGAATTTGCCTCCAATATGTTCCATAAAATATCTACCATATTTCCATAAAATCTAATTTCCTTATTTAACTGCCAACATTGGTACATGGTTTGCCGGATATTTTATTATTAAATTAAGCGTTAAATGTAACATATAATTGAAAATTATATACATATGTATGTATAAAAAATAAAAATAAGGAAAAAAAATAATTATTCTTTTCATGTCTTTGTTTATATTTTTTGCATCAAAAGAAAGGAATAACAAAAACAATTCGATCATTTAACAATTCAATGTCCAACACACAGCATTCGGAAGTAATTGCCTGGCGGTATGTGTCATATCAATTATAAATGTCGGTCATTTCTTGTAGTGGCTGTTGGTGTAAGCCAACAAACAAACATACATACTCGTATATTGGCCACAATAATATTTCGTCGTATCTCTACTTGCTTCCGTGGAAATTTTCTTTTCTTCCACGTTAGTTGTTGTGCTTTTGATATTTTCACCTTTCTTGTTTTTTCTGTTTCTCAGTGACAAAACGGGGCAGTAGTATTTGTGGAAATGTTAATGTTTTTTTTTTGGTTCGCATAAATTTGTATTGTTGTGTGTACGAGTATATATATAATTAAATGAGCAGAGTATTTTATCTGTTTGTTTTCATATCAGATGATTATAGAGACACACATAAACAAACATACATACACATGTTGTATATCTATAAAATTATTAGCCTGGCCGTTATATACATACATAATATTTACTCTATATCAGATTGTTTGCCGGTCTGGTCTGCATATCTGTCTAGAAATGCTTCTGAAAGCGTAGAAATTCAATGTTATCGCTCTCTCTCTCTCTCTCTCTGTTTATTCGGACATAATGCCAGACTATCAGGAAGCAGCCACCAACAAAAGTGTTAATAATTACTTGCACTTTTAAATTTTTATGATTATGGAAATATTTTTTTTTATTTTTAAACAAAAAATATAAATATTATAAAAATTGGATTATCAGTTTTGGTTGACATTCTGTTTCGGTGTGAAAATGTACCACATCGAAATTATTAGTCAAATCCCAGTTGTACAAAAAATATCAATTGTCTGCTATTATATAGTTATATAGCTAGTTACTTGGTGATCTAGTTACTTCATACCCCAAAAAGGAACACAAAATAGACTGTTGGATTTTTTTGTCAACTGAAAAAGTTGTTTACACACATCATACCAAAAGTTACTGGTAATGCAAAGGGTAATGAATCGACTATCGAAATAACTGTATACTGTTAACGCAGGCAGGGGACAATTGACTTCCCCAATGACATACACATGTTAAATTCACCAGTCTAGGGCATGAAGTGGTAACTAGTGGTACTTACAGGTAATTAGTAAAATATCTAGTTCATCACCAGTTACTCGAACTACTGGGATATGTTTTTTAATTATTTGTTTTTTAAATAGTTACATCGGTAGTGGTGTTAGCTATCTTCTACGAGGGAAAGAGGACATAATTTTTGGGTATGCTACGGTATTCGAACGTCCAAAAAATAACCCAAGCATCAAGTAAAGGACAAAAGTAGGATGAACTATATGATATCCTACACCAGCTTGGGTACATACAAGAGATGCTCCTAAAATTCTTATTGTAACCTACCGTAATATATACACCGATTTTAACGAAGCCTGACAACCGGCTTAGCATCTTTGTAGTGCTTTGACGACGAAATTAAATATATTATCTTTAATCAATCCACAGACATATAATTCCATAATCTATGCAAAACCAGGCAGATTTGTTTGGTGTACTTTGGTAGGTCTTCGGTA